ATTTAATTATAATTCATAATAAAGTTCCTAATAATTATTAATTTTTTTTTATAACTTTATGTTTATAATGTTTCGAATAGTGCTCAAGTATCTAATTTATTTTAACTATTATATGTAAGTGTAAGTATCAGCTTTTTACAGAAAATTCTGAATATTTATTTATTTTAAAAGCGACATAAGTGTGAATTATTTGACCCGTCCTTTAGTCCGTAGCAAACAGGGCCCACCTCTTGCGCCCCACGCTCGTGCACTTAAATAATCCTAAATTTTTTTTTAAACAGCGATTTACATATATTGCAAATATAATTTGAAGTTTTATTTGACAATATTATATTATTGATTAAACGATATCAAGTACAAAATACTTTTACAGTCTAAAATATGATAATAAAAGTTAATAGTCTTCTATATAGAGTACTAAGGAAGTTATGTATAGATTGTAAAGGAACTGGTAAAGGTTATTGATAAAAATATTTTATGATGTTAATATTTTAAAATGAGAGAGGTTACTCTTATGAGAATGTAATTGTCTTCTTGTGGAATGCATCACATTTTTCTTGTAGGCCCCCTAAAAGACTTATAACTCGAGAACTGCAAATTGTGCAAATTTCTTTCAATGATGCGTCAAAAGATCACAAATCGTATATAGTCGAAGATATTACCCTCAAAAATTGAAAAAATTTCCCTCGTTCCCCGTAAATGGGGGAAACCTCCAAAAATATTACAAATTTAAAAATTGCTAATTTTCGAAATTTTTTCAATTTTTTTTACTAAAAACTGCCATAACATTTTCAAAAATGAACAAATCAATATAATTTTTTTTTTATACATGTTTGATGTCTTAACCTATCATTTTATATATTTTTGTGAACATTTGACCCTTTACCAGCCCACAGATAGGGTTTAAAATGGCATCTTTTTTACAAAAAATTATTATTTTTATCTGATAAAATCAATGAAGAATACTTAAATTAATAAGCTGTGAATGTTTATGTTTCGTTATAATTCTATTTTATAAGTAATATATATATAATATACATTACTACCAAGTATAATTTTTAAGTTATTAAAAAGAAATCAATTTTTTATGGACGTCTAAATTTTTAATTTTTAGTAAATCTAGTAATTAATGTACTTACTGATACTTCCTTAATACAAATTACATATTTTTTAATTTTTATACTCCAGAGATCAAATTTTAATTTATAAAAGATTTTTTTTTGTTTTTAATGTATTTATGTATACTATCTTTCTATGATAATAAGCAAACAATTTTATTCTGCATAGTTAAAATTATTATAATTTGAGAGCTTTGTTTTCATTTACTAAATAGGTACTAAGGTCTCTGATAACTACTAAAAATCTTATTTTATTAACAATCAATAGTTAAACGTTATAATATTCATATGCTACACTTGACTATAATAGATATATTTAAATTAATATATAATAATAAGTTTGACCTTCATCATTTGTACGACTATCTTATAACCAGAACGTTACTCGATAAGAAAATCTCTCATACATTTCTGTATTATATAAAAAAGTAAAATAATTATACTATAAGTACCTATGCTATATTTAAAAATTAGGTCATACTAAATTCTTTACGAATTTCTAGAAAATAGAGCACAAATAACTAGAATTTGTCGTTACTGTATAGAAGCAACAACTTTATTGATTTATTTTTTTTTTTATTTGAATAGTAATATTTTTACTTGATTAACTTTTTAAAATCGAGCATACTTAATAGCAATTTTTATTCAATAAACAGGTTGTAACTTGAGTGTAATACATTTACTATCATGTAACAGAAATAGATATTTCAATTTGTTTCAAGTATAATTTTTTTTGTATTCATAATTTGTTAATATTTATTATTTATTTATAATCAAAATGTTTACACCAATAGCATAAAGTATCATCGGAGTTTAAAGGAGAGGTTAATCAATTTAAAATTGTACAATTAGTTTTGGATTAACATTACTTGATGAAATAAAACAAAAAAGTTTCTTTAAGTTAATGAAAACACGTCCTCATTTTGGTTCATCTCTTCGTATTACAAATTGTGTAGTCAACTGAGTAGATAAAATGTATTTTAAGATATATAAATTAAATTTTATGAAAACTTTTGATAAAACTAAACTTGTAATATACACCAAGCGATTTTTCGATAAATGTTTCATATCGAAAATGATAAAAGTTTTAATTGCTATTTAATTTTAGAATCAATTTAGACCTTTTTCCATACTTAATAAAAAGTTTGAAAATCGTTTTTTTTTAATCTAACAACTTTTATTAGAAAAAAACTTGATCCACTTTTGATTATTATTTATACTTCAAACCAAACACAAAACTATATAAAGAAACTTCATATTTATACTGGTCATTTGTTAGTCAATTGTTCAAAGTATTTATGCTACAAGTATTTTTAAAACTAAACTCAAAAATAACATATTATACATTTTCTGTTATAAATGCTGTTAAATTTAAAATTTGTAAATGTAATGTATAGAACTTATTTGGCAACTGTGTAATACAGAATGTATAATATCATTGAACTCCGTACACTTAATTGTACTTCTTACTGCATTATACGTCATAAATTAAAGATAATATAATTAATAAATGTTTTTTCTACTGGAGATTTTATGTAGATAGTGATAAGGGTATAAAAATGTTAATAGTTGCAAATTTCTACCAAAATATTAACCTACAAAAATTAAATCGTGTTAGTTAATCATCTAAAATTTTCAGGTATAATTCACACGTTTATTCATTTTGAAGTAACATTTCAAAAATGTTTGAAAAATTCTTGTCTCATAAAATTGTTTCATAATCATTACTCTTCTATGTATGTTATCTCATTCGTGTTTGGTCGGCGTATTAAGTACAAAGAAAGATAAATTTAATACATGACAGCGCTAAAAAAAGAATTGATCACAAGCCAAATAAATGTTTGTTTTCCAAATTAAGCTTATTATTTTAAGTTATAACTAGTTTTTTTGTTCTAACAAAAGCAGTACCTCAAGTTTAAATATCTTCTTTTACAAGTTTCTTTGGTCGTTAGGTCAGAGTAAATATTTTATTTTTGAGACGATGTCACTAAATTCTCAAATTATTTGTTATTTACCTTTTTAAAGCGATGTCTCTAATTACAAAGAATTGGGGTATACTTCTATTGTTCTATATAAACGAGGGTTGATGCCACAGGAGTGCGCGTTTGCCATAACAGCCGACCACTGTAGTGATAACTGGCAACGGTGTCCTCATTTCTCAACGGCATACGAGTTAGTGTCCTAAAGCGGAGAGCACGCACCCCGTTAAACGTATTTACCATAGACAATACGTTTTTTTCCAATCTTAAGTACTACATACTGAAAGAAACGAGTTTTACATGACTGAACTTTTCGTTACCACTGCCAATGATTAAATAAGGCAATTGGTTGTCCCTTATTTATTTATTTTTTTTTTGAGGAGTTTCATATAAAATGCTAATTATTGTATTTAAACCTCTACTACTATTCTACCCTATACCAAAGCGTTTATTTTTTCCTTTTTTACCTTCGATGCGAAGCTGAGAAGATTTTAATTTTACTATGATGTGTTTTTAATTATTTTTTTTGTGTGTCTGTTACCACTTATTATCAGCTCTCGCCAAAACGATTTCTTTCAACGATACGTCAAAATATCACAAATTGTATCTAGTCGAAGACATTACTCTCAAAAATTGGAAAAATTTCCCTCATTCCCCGTAAATGGGGAAAATCTCCAAAAAATGTACAAATTTAAAAATAGCTGATTTTCAACATTTTTTTTTACTTAAAATTGAAATAATTTTTTTAAAAATGACCAAATCAATATATATTATTTTGATAGATACATGAGATATTTACCTATCATTTTGTATACTTTTTTTGGTAAACCTGCCTACAGGGAGGGATTCAAAATGGCAACTTTTTCAACTTAACTTTTGAAAATGTTCCTGAAATACTGACACTATTATCTATATCTTAAATTGAAGATAATGTAATATACTTTATTATGAAAAAAAAATTTCGGACTTTATTTTGTCTTCATAGTGAAAATGGCTTTCGTATGCTATTTTTGTGTTAAAATTCTCGATTTTATATTTTACATTTTTAAATTAATATTTTTATGACTTTTTGAAAAATGTATGGATCAATACAATTTTTTTATAAAAAATATTATTTATATATCTCTTTCATTCGACATACTTTTTTTTTTAATCGGACCATTTCCTTTAATACAGGGGGGGTTCAAAACATAAAAATGCGTATAGGAAGTAGAACTCATTCAACTTATTTTTAATTAAAATATATTTATTGATACATAACCTAATAATCAAACATAAATATTTGTTATATTTATTAGAAGAATTTTGTTATTATTTAGGATATCTGCGAAACTCTAATTGCAGATTTGAAATGGACGCAAAAATGGGCTTAAAAAAGAATATTTTGGTCTCTGATGAAAATTCCTTGTAGACCAGTAAATTTATTTATAAATAACAAACAATTTGTTTTTAAGTATTGCTCAAGACCATCAACTTTTATATAAAATTAGTTTGTCATAAAAGTAATAACTACTTTATAATTTTTTATAATTTCTCTGTAAAAATTGCAATACTAAATTATTAAATATCTATTTCATATCATATTAAATTGCTTTAATAAATATTTATACATAAATTACATTTATAAATCATAAAACTTGTAATCAGTATATAAAAAAGAAAATAGGACATCATGTTACTTTTAATCCACCAATTATTTAAAATTAAATACTATCTACAGATTTGCATCGAAGCATTTTTTATGATAGTGATTTTAATCACTGTCGGATTAAATCTATACTAGACCCAAATATGCCACGTCCTCACACTGTGTGGGGTTGTTTAAACCCTTTTTCCATCATTTTAACCTTAAGTATACTTTTGTGTGTAAACAAAAACCAACCTTGGATTTGTCGGTTTTCAGTAGTATGCTGTCCGTCAATGGACCCAAAGGAACGCAAAGAGAAGGCAAGAAGTTACGCCAATACGCTGCTGCTCTGTCCAGTAAGTACAATCGTATTAAACTTTTTATGTTGTTGCTCTATAGTGTATCATGTTTCATTGCCATTACGATAACATTATATTAATCTGTGTGATCGCTGGTACTAAACTGTTGGAAATTTATCTTTGGACATCACAGTCTGCCATTTGTTACTACTCTTACAGATAAATAGGCCCACATAACGCTCGTGTTATAAATACACGCAACAATGTTATGGAAAAAACCAGTTGCCATGTAACATTTGCTAAGCTCAATGTTGTAGTGCCGTCTAGATTGCAGTGTAATGACAACGTCCGGGCGAACAGCGACGGCGCAGTCGACCATCTGGTCGCCTCGTGCTTGTGTTGTCCGTCGACCCCTCAAAGGCATTGGAGCGCTCGTGTCACCGAGTTCCGACCACAGTCAACATCGCAATATTGAGCTCGGTACTTAAAAAAAACTGATTAGAAACTGGCGTAATTCGATGATTTTCTCATGTTCTTTCTCTATTGCACTGAGGACACGGATTGATGTTTCAACGGGTTACAATTATTTAAAATATTAAAAAAATATTTAAATTATTTCCGACTTGGTACCCTTGGATAAACGCGATTTTTTTTTTTTAATACTAGGAATTGTATAAAATAAATGTTAATTAATGAATAGGAAGATTTTTCATTATTATTTATTTTCATTATTAAAAAACAGTACACCGTTGTAAGGTCGTAGTGTTTTTGGATGGGTTCCAGGCTCTAGGTCATTTAAAATGTTTCAAAAACATTTACTATGTCGTCTTACGATCTAATGACGTTTATTACTATTATTCGTAACAAGTGCCGGGTTTTTTTTTTATAATAATAATAACACCATAGAGGTCACGACGACCGAATCATTAACAAATAGTTGATAACATAATTTTTTGTAGTCATTGATTATTTATTTCACCGTAATATAAGGAATAATAATATAAACCGTAGGATTGTTTTCTGTCAATTTGAATAAATTACAAAAAGAGAAGAGATGAATTTTAATTTTAAACAAATAAATTTTTTTTATATAAAAATTATTACTGTTTTTCTATTCAAACTTCAAATTTTAATTTTCTATAACCGACTGACTTTTTTTCTATTTATTTGACATATGAGTTTTGTGTGAAAAGAATAAGTAAAATACCCATTTTAAATTTTCAAGCCGAGTTCTATTTTCCAATAGAATTTAATTCAAACCACATTAAATTTAACAAATATTCTGAAGTACAAACAATGGCTTAATTTTGAAGTTTGTAGATTTTTGCTAAATTTGTACTGCTAAAGTCAAATGTATTTAAATGAAATTTGTTCAATATATATATATTTTGTTATTTGGAAAATAGTCATTACATTTTATTTGTCTTACTCTATTTTATTTTAATTACCTTAAAAATGTCTAATTATTAATACACATCTCATAAAATAAAATATATTCAAAACATTGTACGGTTTTAAGTGTGCATAAGTAAAATATGACATAATTATGTTTAAAAGAAAACTCAATACAATTGGTTTGAAATGACCTTCAAAGGTATTTTATTCATAAAAGATTTACCGGAGTGTGCGTGCGAGTTATGTGTTAATTTATAGTGCATTATTAAGTTTCGGTCAACCGCCGACTTGTGATTACCAGTAGATGTAACTGAAATGTGTAGATTTATGCACATAATAACTCAATAAAGTTCGACTATTTAAAATTGAACAACAATTTTTACGTGAAACTAAAAATGGTTATCGTTTGAAAGTAAATATTTCATTTTTTAGCATAACTCATTTAATGATAATTGTCTAAGAAAATTATCATAAATAGCTAGATATTCTCAGAAAATATATTCTAACTCAGTTTTGTAAAGTGTAGTGACTACTAAACAAAAACTATAACTAAAGTGTTAAAATAAAATATTTACTTCGAGATAGACTTTATCAATTGTATAAATTAAGTAATTTTAGCTTTAATGCATGTCTGACAAGATATTGGTTATACTATGTTGTGTTTGTTTTTTGTAAATTTATCCACGTATAGGAATTGATTGAGACCTATATGGGCGAGGGGGTGGTACTTGGGGATGGCCTCCCTATGAAAAATATAGCGTTACCATTAAAAAAAAGTGATGACCATAAAATTCCAAGAAACCAGTATGTTCTTAATTATGACAGATAATAGTAAAATTCGCCCCCTAATCTGGACTATGTGAATACTCTATCCTACTTAATTTTGCTTAACAATACTTTAAACACATCACAAATCATTTCTAATTGAAGCTATAAGAATTATAATTTGACAAATTCCTCTCACTCTATAATATTCCATAATAAAGTAAAAAATCACATAAAATTACAATTGTTATACAACAATAGTCGATATCGATATTTTTAGTTTTCACTTAACATTGAAATATCTTATTGAAACTAGAGGAACATTACGAAAATTTTATTAATAATATTTTAATCATTTGACTTGCTGACGATATACTTTTTTTAGCAAATCCAAAAATTAAGAAAAGTATTGTTGAGGTTTAAACTTCATATCAAAAATTTTTTCTATATAATTTTTGATATTGTTCTAAAAAACTGCGTTCTTTAAATTTATGTTAAAGCTAATATAATGTACTTTGAATTGTAACAAAAAAAACTATCCAAAACTTTGATTTATAGGAATTATTAGCCAATTAATCCAAAAATCATAAAATATTTCGTTAAATTGGAAAATTTTGAAGTGTAACAAAACACGGGAAATATAATATTTTCTTTAAATTTTTTCTCATGTTTTCATTTTATATAATTTTTATAAAAATTCCATATCATATTGAATTTTTTATTAGTAATTCTAAATAAATAATGTGTCTTACAAAAATTTAAACAAAGTCTTAATTACAAAAATTACTTGAATGCAGCAACATGTATACATTTTTTTTTTCATAAAAATTTTGATAACATTCTGTGACGTCTGCTTTCTTAAAACTAAATCAAATTAAAGATTTTAATTTGTATTTTAATATAAAAAAATGAAAATGTTTTCTTTTATATGTAACAGTCGGCTAAAATTAAAATTTTTACATTTCCGTTAAAATATTTCAATTTTTTTTTTAAACAGTATCAAAGCGTTTTATGTAAGTGACGTTAATCACTGTCAAAATTCAATCTGTACTGGAGTTTACTATGCCATAACTCCACTATGTTGGGTTCGGATTGTATCAGGTTTTTTATAATGTAAACATATGTGATACTGTAATTTAGTTTTTTTTTTTTTTTTAATATATCACAATTGAAATGTTTATTTTTTCGAATTCAAATGTTGTCAATGTATAAATGACAAATGTGTCTTTGACGAGTTTACTATAGAATTGATCATCCTTAATATAAATTTTTAATGAGTATTTTAACAATTGTGTTAGTAATAATACATTAATACAATATAGAAACACAAGGGTCAATATATGTTGTGCAAATTTTGTTTGCTAAAAAACAAAAATTGATGAATGTTTTTTAGCATTTTCTAATGATCAATGATAAAATAGTAATTTAGTTCATTTTATTTAATAGAATTCATTTTAATATTTCTTTGCTATGGTTCAAAATATTAATTTCCTGAAAATTATAACGAGCGACGGCATTAAACTTTAATGAATTGAATCATAACAACGATGGCTTATCGTTAAGCCCTAGCAGGTGTTAATTTGAATACTTTTCTAGGGAACTCTTGTACATAGTACTAAGTTAAGTACTCGATGAATATATGTAAATGATTAAAATTTGTTTGTAGAAGTCCTGTGTGATTATATTACTCGAATGGTATTTAGATATTCACGCGTGTGACAATGTTTGGCTGATATAGTGATGTATTATTAAAAAATCAAGTAAATGTGATCGTCGTCATTACTACAGTCACATAGTGTTATTTAAGGAAAATTTATTGTTTATGAAAACGTGTTGAATGAGTCATCAAATATTTTCCTCTAGAATAATAAAAACACGTGTTTTTAAATTAAAATGATTTCCAATATTTGCTGAAATTGCTCATTCAAGATTGATTATAACGAATTAAATTCTGTCTTATCAATGTTAACAATTATAAGAAGTACGTTATTGTATGTTCAAAAGCTGTTTTGACTTATTACAAACACATTAGTTTATCATTAAATTATATTGTGTTTGTTTGTTTATTAAAAGTGTTTAGAACATTCTCAATCTAAGTTTTTTTGTTTATTAAAAGTATTAATCATTAAACTGTCCATGTGATATTTGTTATGGTTCGTTGTAAAATCGATCTTTCCCTTAAACTTAATCATCACAAGTTATTGTATGTTTCTTCGTTGAATAAATTTACATTTGATTCTTTTCCTTAAGAAGCAATACAATTCTGATAATATTTTGATGCAATGGTATATTTAAAATAACTTATAGGTACGATGAGATTTTAATAGTAATTTGGAAGTAATAAAATAAAGTTCGAGTGAGTAATTAACATTATGTAATACACGTTGGCACACTGTGGTTATAATTAACATAAAAATATTAATATTATAAAGTACTTTTCGAACTATTTTCAACAACTTATTTATATTAGACACTAATTATGATCAGAGTCATTGTATTATTTTTTTGTAAAATATTGTTCGTGCTGGTTATGACTTTAGTTACCAATAAAAGATTTCAGCTCAGAAGTAATGTAGAATAACTGAATTTAGAACTATTCATTATAATGAATTATGTTTAAATATTTATATTATGTGAATGATAAACTATAAAATAATTATTCTACATTTCCAATAAAATAAATTAAGTTTAAATATTATAAAAATAGACCGTAAAAATTATTGTTCAAATTGTTTTCGCAATTTCTATAACTGTGTATAAGATAATAGTTTAACAATGACTCACTGAAAATGATCAGTCTAAGAAAATGACTGGTCGATAATAACTTTTGGATCGGCATTTTAAGAGTTATTAATTCGTTAATATAAAAACTGGAAGTGAAGATGAGTCTGTTTATT